AAAGAAAGAAAGAAAGAAAGAAAGAAAGAAAGAAAGAAAGAAAGAAAGAAAGAAAAAGAAAGAAAGAGAAATTGTTGGACTAATTGTGAAGTATGTGAATTTTGTTTTATCTACTTTCTGTGAACAGATTGGATACCTAGAAGGCATGTACATAAAAACACACACAGCCAAAAGATAAATCTTGAATTTGTGAGTTTTCTTATTTAGTCTATTCAGGCAGATTTAACTGCAAATTTATTCAGTATTATGGGAATTTTGTTCTCTTTTTACAGGTGAGGGACTTGTCCATTGCTTATATGCTGGTGACATTAACTTACCTCTATATTGGAGTCCTGGTTTTTGCTTCATTTCCTTCACCACCATTAACCAAGGATTGCATAGAGCAGGTAAGGCACTAGGTACCCTCTCTTTATGATTGTTTACACCTTCCTATCTGCAGAGCAGGTGGGGTGATACAGTAGCAAGTTATAATACCATCTCTACTGTTTACTCTGCATGTGAGATTTTAGGCATCTTCCCCATCCTTTCTAAACTTCGGTTTCCTATTCCCTAAATAGTATAATACATATACCATAGATTTTTTAAAGAGACTCTCGAGAAAGCATACTGCATGCTAGCCCCTTATGGTACTCAAAATAGATAATTCCTTTTATTATGTGCATAGTATTTCTCTTTATTTGGAAAACTGTACTGGTGCTATTCATGAATTTGTAAAACTTCTGCTGGGAATACATGCAACCTCCTTATTTTCCAAAGCCTGGATCTGGAAATGTCCTGGATAATCTGGTGTCTTTGCTCATTAGTCCCCAATGATAGGTCTAACACTCATTTTTGTACACCGTGGCAGGCAGTAAAACAAAGAAAGACTATTTGGCTGTTAAAAAGAGAGGGAGATGGAAAGAATAGAAGAAAAGATTTTATAAAGAAAGATGTCATAAGTAATACTTTCTTTGATTTGACCCATCATAAACTTAGGAACAGTGTAGTTTCTAGAGTAATGTGACTGACAAAAATAGCATTTTACAGATGAGTTTCTTTCTAGTCAGAAGAAATTCTCTAGTAAGAGTGTGGTGGAGGGGTGCCTGGGTGGCTCAGTCGTTAAGCATCTGCCTTCGGCTCAGGTCATGATCCCAGAGTCCTGGGATCGAGCCCCACATCAGGCTCTCTGCAATTATAAGAGTTATTTCAGCATAATACTGTTAATGATATTCTCATCTTTATAAGACAAATAAGTTTGAATTATTACTGTTATGATAGCTTGAAATGTTCTTCTCTTGATTTCCATGATTCCAGAAGTTCTTTGGCAGCCAAATGTTTGCTGAAAATTCCCCTGATGTGAACAATCCCTTATAAAGCCCACTCTCTTGGGAATAGGAATATCTATGGTATTTGTATTTGAAAAGAAAAAAAAAATTCTGAGTAATTAACTTTCCTTTTAGGTTCCAAACTAAAATGGAGAAAATCATGAGAGGAAATAGAAATAAATCCTTTTCTTTTTAATTATAGGCTATAAATAATAATGATAATAGGTGATATGTATATACTCTCACATTATTCTATAATCTTTACTTTGGAAGTGCTATGGTGTTTCAGGGAAGGAAAAGCAAGAGAATTGGTGAAGATCAAATAGCATCGAATTAAATTAGCCATTTGAATGTATTAAAACAGATTTATGCTTGTACCTTACAGAGCAGTGCTTCTGAGATTCTGTGAAGGGCAAGGTTTTCTTTGTCATTTTAATGTCAAGTCAATTACAGACTGATACTTTTGTAAAATAAAATAATGTGGCAATGTCAAATTTCTAGAAAAGTTTCTAAACATTTCAATTTTTGTACTTAGTTTATTGAAAAATAATAGTTCACATATAGTTTGTGGGTGAGCACCGGTCCACAAACCAAAACTTGTGTGGCACCTGTGATCCAAATAACCAAAAGATATTCCGTTTTATAAATTTGTACGTACTGAATTTATTTATTTTTTTTTAAAGATTTTATTTATTTATTTGAGAGAGAGAGAATGAGAGACAGAGAGCACGAGAGGGAAGAGGGTCAGAGGGAGAAGCAGACTCCCTGCCGAGCAGGGAGCCCGATGCGGGACTCAATCCCGGGACTCCAGGATCATGACCTGAGCCGAAGGCAGTCGCTTAACCAACTGAGCCACCCAGGCACCCCGTACTGAATTTATTTTTAACATTACTTCATTATCTTTCTTGGATTAGAATTTTTTGGACAACTTCCCTAGCAGTGACATCCTATCCTTCATTGCAAGGATATTCCTGCTGTTCCAGATGATGACTGTATACCCACTCCTAGGCTATCTGGCTCGCGTTCAACTATTGGGCCATGTCTTCGGTGACATTTATCCTAGGTAAGGGCTCTTCTCTTGACCAGCAAGATGTGCCAAGCAGCAAATGACTGTGCAAACAGGTCAGTTTAAAATGTGACTGATCCTTTTGCTATAAAAATTTGCCTAATCAAAATGGTTACTAAGGGTAGATCACAGTTGTTCTTTTCCCTGAAGTACTATAAAATTAGAAGCTGCTTCCGTATCCAGAATGATTTAAAGTTAGTTCCTTCTAGTATAGTTATGTACTAGCTCTGATACCAACTATATTTATCTTACGATTTATTTGCCATTAATCTACACATTGCCAAGAAGTTAGTAGTATATAGTACCTGTATTAGCAATGTCTGGCTAATGAGAAGCAATGCTTTTATTTTAATTATTAGTTATTGATATGTACTTGTATATTTATTAACATTCATGCATTTTTACTTAAATCATAGTTGCTTAAAATTGAAGGTGAGATATACAACAAGCTAAAATTCCTATTTGCTTCTGTAACTACTGCTGTAATTTTTAATCTCTTACTGGTGATGGAGCAGTTTTGAGTCCTTTTGAAAACCTATTCAAAGCTACTTACCCTCATCCAAGAGAAATTTCCATATACGCTTCAGAGTTTCCCTGGAACTTCATTTTGAATTCCTGGTTAACTTCTACTCTTAACATTAAGTTTTAATAGAGATTCATCCTAGTAAAAAATACCCAGTCCTAACCTATTTTACTTTAAATAAATGGTCTTAAATGAAGAAAACTTTCAGATAAAAACTTTTTAAATTACATTTACAGTAACCAGTTAAACAAGGGGTCTTCATCAGTTCTTCTTTGAAGTGAACTGATGCAATCTGTTCCCTCATTAAGTAAATAGTAAAAATACGTTGGTTCAAAAACAAAAAACTTGTAAAAGCAAAAGTCAAGAGGTACCGCCTTTTTAGCATTGACAGTATCAACAGCTACAGTTATAACATTGCTCATCTGGAGGATTGGATTTCAGTACATGTGAGATTCCTGTTGTGTTTACGCCCTGTGTTGTATTTACATTCCCAAAATAAAATAATACAGTGAAGTCATAGAAGAAAAAAATGCTAGGTAAATGCATTATTCCTGTTTTCTGCCATTATTTTGCATAATGGTGGCTGTGGCAATGCTTTTTCCTCTTGGAAATAATCTGGAAGTTCCCTTTCGTGTTCACATTACATTTCTTTCTCTACCACCACCAACACACTATCATTTATCCTACAGTTACAAGTACTCTACAGACTGCATATTTCAGAGCATACTTTTTTGGGCTCAGCACCTCCTTTACACTCTTAAAGTTTATTGAGAACCCCCATGCACTTTAACTTATGTGGGTTATATCTATTAATATTTAACATGAAAAATTAAAACTTGTTTAAAAATAACATACTTATGAAAAATAATTGTTTCCCAAAAGAACTTTTGTTTTACATTTTCAAAACTTTTTTCTTAAGTTGTATTTATTTAAGTAATTTCTATACCCCGTGTGGGGCTCGAACTCACGTCCCTGAGATCAAGAGTTGTGTGCTCTTCCAACTAAGCCAGCCAAGCGCCTCACATTTTCAAAACTCTTTGAAAGTAGATAGAAAAACTCTATCTACTGCTTTGCTAGTAGATAATTGGATTCCCTTATCTTCTGCATTCAGTCTGTTGCAATATGTTGTTTTCATTTAAATATATGAAGAAAATCTACTCTCACATAGACACGTTGGACAAAGGAGTACTTTTAATAGCATTTTCAGATTATTGTGGTTATTCTTCTTTGATACTGTGCCAAATCTTAACAAGTAGTAGTTTCTTAGAAGTTAATTGAATCAGAAAGTCACTGATATTAAAACCCATTGGTCTATAGTACACTTTGGATCCTTTAACCCATGCATGTTTTTGTACCATGTTTAATCATTTGGAAAATATCATTTCACTGAGTTCTGCAGATCTTCCACACTTCATTATATAATATCAAAACCCACATTCATAACACTGCCACCAGTTTCATCATAAAAGTCCTTAAATACTGGAAAACTGTCAAGCTCAGGGTGGCAAATACAAGCTGTCCAAAATTCTAATTTTTACTTGAAAACTGAAATTTTATCGTTGGCCACACATACCACTAGTTGTTTTCCTTGAAATGACAAGCTCATAATCATTCATTTAAAAAAAAATGTCTGTCAAATACCCAAGTCTGAAGAACCACAGTTTGTCTGCCTTTCAAGTAAAAATAGCATTCCTCGGAAAAAAGGGCTAGATTGCTCTCCAGCTCAGTTGCACAAGTACTTTTCTTCAAGACAACCATTTTACTTCACTGTGTAGCAGATATGCTGTATTATGTACTTTCTAACTGATCACACAGAATAGTAAAACAGATGTGTGTTCAAAGCATGAGATTTAATAAAACTGATAATTTTTACTTTTTTATGAAGGTCTCTTTTTTGGCAGTAAGGCACACAGTGTAAAATACACGTAGGTGCAACTGCCTCTTTCCGTGCTAAGGGTCCAGCAGTTTTACCCACAGTTGCTTTTGCAAAGCAAGTAATGTCTTTTATGATTTGAAATTAATATTTATCTCAGTGACTTCCTGAAAGGGTATTGGGAACTTCCCTGGGGTTCGTGGTTACACTATGAGAACCACTTCTTTGGAAAATACACAAAGTTGTTTCCTTTTACAATACAGAAATAACAGAGGCCCAATCATTGTCTCAAAGCTCTGGAGCAACTTTAAAGTTGGAGTTTCTGGATAAATAGCAAGATCTGGAAGCCTGAATATCTTTGTAATTCATCAGGATGTATGACTACTTATTTGTGTAAATAATTCTCCTCGTTTGTATTCTCTCTGTAATCTTTATCTGGGATTAATTACCCCCTAATAACTTGGGCTCACAAGGTTGCTTTGATGTGTAAATTTCTTTTAAGAATCATCTTTCTGGGAAATGGAGTTATTTCTTGAGCATCAAATTTTATCTACATTATTTTTCTATTCATGATGAACACTGAATATCTTTAAGTGGCTGAATCTGAAAAATGAAAACCTGCCCATTTTGTCTTTCCCTTAATATATTTTCCTAATTATAAAAATAAAATAAATACAAAAAAATATTGTAAGATATAAAAAGTTTGTTAAATACAGAAAAGTGGAAAAATTACTCCAAATTCCAAATCATATCACAATTACTACTGCCTTTTTGGTGTATTTTCTTCTGATATTTTTTCCATTGTTTTCAGATTTTCTTGTGTAGTAAAAAATCTAGCTAGCTTTTTTCCAAGTTGCTTCGATGAATTTACCATCTAGGGAACAATGATAAGTTATTTTGAATAATTTTTAATATATTCCATCAAGGAAGTTGTTACCTTACTGTATATGTAGGATACTTGTTTTTGCCACAGATATCTTTATGTTAGTAGCTTTTTTCTTATTTTTGTTTATTGTCTTAAGATATTCCAAATGAAATTATAAAATAAAAAGCGTGAACTCTGATACATACTACCAGTTTGTTCTACAAATCTTTAACCTATTCATATATTTGCACAAAAGGTCCAGGGTCACTGTGCCATCACCAGCATTGAATACTATTGCTGCCTTCTATTTCTGCTGTGATTTTATTATCAAGTTTAAGACATTCTCATTTTAAAGATGTTAATGATGAATTTTATTCTCATATTAATGGTTATAATTTGCCTGTTTTTGTTTTTTCCTCCAAATTCTCTCCTCAACTTCTAGCATTTTCCATGTGCTGATTCTTAATCTAATTATTGTGGGAACTGGAGTGATCATGGCCTGTTTCTACCCAAACATAGGAGGAATCATAAGGTAAAGCCTATAAGGGAACTGTGCCCCTTCATGTATTGTTCTTTATTTTTATGCTTTTCCTGTTGATATTGCCGTTGTTGTTAATTTAATTGTACGAAGTTCTTGTGAGTATTTAAAACTGGTAACATTCAAATATAGTTCCCTGGTGTCAGTTAAGGTGCTCGTTTTCTTCCATCACACTGCTTCTTCCTGATTCTAGAAGCCCCATTATCCCTTAAACATCTTTCCCTTTTTCCCTTTCTCTTTTTCTTTTTCTCATCGTTTTCCTTTGTACCTTCTCTTTACCAAAAAAAAAAAAAAAAATTTAATATGTAGTGTATAACTTCTTGAGTACCTGGAGGTCTGTCATTTGTTAAGGCTGTGTTGTAACTTTTTTTTTTTTTGAGGATACTTGAAATATGTCTTATAATAAAGACAACCACTATGCTGTTTTTACTTTTATTTGCATTTATTTTATGCAGAATTTACTCCTGGGCCATAAGTTTTTGTTCCTTCAGTTTCTTCTGGGATATCTTTTTCAGTAAGGATCATCTCAATGTGGCTGTATTCTAACTTTTTTAACCCATTTCTACTCAAGAACATAATTTTGCTGTGAGTTGCAGTCAGAAAGTAAGAGTTTAGATAGGAGTTTAGATTCCAGATGGGTCTTTACTTAATATACTTTCTCTAAAAATATTGTGGTAGGTTGAGTAGATGGGGAATAAAATTGTGAACTCAGATTCTCATGGAAGACGGGTTTACAGTGATCTGATTTCTCTTCCTCAACCTCTAGAAAGTAGGCTTGAGTCACTTTTTTGAAGACCCTTACCTTAAAAAGTAGCAAGAAATAAAAGAGTATTAGCCTGATGCTTATTGAATATAATGGATTTAAAGTTTCTGTTAAGCTGAGGACAGGGTAAGGGAGAAGAAAGTTTGGGTTCTTCTGTCAGTCTTGTGTTGAGGTATTTTTGTTATTATCTTTGATAATTATGCTGAACACCACAGAGGTACTCATCTGTTCTCATTATTAAGCAGATGCTAGCAGTCCTTCAGAAACTCAGAATGCATAATTAGTTTATAAAAGATCAAAGATAGGAAGCCTATCTCCAGATGTTTCTGAGGAAGCAGCCACAAACAGGGAGACACAGAAAACTATGGAGATTGGAGAGATGAATAAAAAACTCTGTCAAGCAGATGCTATAAAGATGAACAGGAAATAATATTTTATATTAACTTAGGAAGTAAAATGTTTTCAACTCAAATGCTTTAGGTCAACAACAGTTGAATCAAAAATAACTTTGTTGCAATATAAGACTGAAGAGGGTTTTAATTGTAGTATAGTTGCAAGGAATAATTAACCCAAAAAGTTTTTATTTTGCAGGTATTCAGGAGCAGCATGCGGCCTGGCCTTTGTATTCATATATCCATCTCTCATCTATATAATTTCCCTCCGCCGAGAAGACCGTCTGACGTGGCCAAAGTTAATCTTTCACATTTTTATCATCATTTTGGGCCTGGCTAACCTGATTGTTCAGTTTTTTATGTGAAATACTCGATGTCTTCTCAAGATCTTTCATGGCATTTTGAACTTTGACAACAGTTCCACATAAATTGACTTATAAATGCTGTTGTTGCTGTAATTCTAAATGTTTTCCTAAAATAATTTGAAAAAAAGGGGTGGGGGGAATAGTGGTCCATGAATAAGTAATTTTGATTAGAGTGGAGAAAGGGGCAAGAAGAATGATCTTTGTCTCACTTCATATGCACCACCCCTTCATTCTCATTGTCTTTTCTGAGTAGAAGTATCTGCCCTTAGGAAAAATCATGTTGGTTTTTGCTTTTTACAGATATAAGGTGGGTGGGTTTATTTTGACTACAGTAAAGGTTCTCAGAGTATCACAGCAACCATTGCCAGATGCTATTTCTGTTTTGTTTCAACGTATTCACTTTCATTTTATTACTTGCTAGGCCATTTCTTCAGTTTACCCAAACATGTACTGTTTGGGACAGTAAACCAAATACCTCATTTGTAAAAAGAAATCTCCATGGCATCAGTGTTAAATGAGTGAACTCTTAACTGCATCCTTAATCTCTATTTAAAAGAGAGAAAGAAAGAATGTTGGTACAGGCTCTTTGATCATGAACCTTACACAAAATAAACGAACTGGGAGAGCTTTTTGAGTCTGACTTCTTTTTTCTAATCTAGTATTAGTAACTTAGGTCAAAAGTCTAGCTCCCCCAGCCAGATTTTGCATAGGAACCAGTATGATTGTCCCCATAGACCCAAGAGGGCTCTTTTGCTTTTTGAATCCCTGAGCATTGCATAGGATGTCATGACAGGACCAACGGGGAAGCATGTAGGAAGCATGGCAGAGAATGTTGGGTACATGAGTCCCTACAGGGAAGAAAGGAAATGGAGAAGGGGCCAGAAGAGTGAGGCCTCCTTCCCAGCATATTGTGAGGGGTTGAAGTGTCTCTTTACCACAGGAAAGGACTAATCCTTTTTGAGGTAAGACTTCCAAGAAGGGGACCCCCCCCACACACTGCCTTACTTCTTAACTGGCATGGTTAGAGGTTAAATCCCCATAAGAAAAATCTCCTTGGATCTGAGAAAAGGATTAGGGAATCTGAATTCTTGAAATTAACTCTCTCTTCTTTCTCACTGAATAAAGTCTAAACCAGAATTCAAATCCATATCTTCCATGTAATACAGCCTTCATGTTCAGCTTGAAAAGTTAGATTTCTCTAACTTTAGGCTAACATTAAAAAGTGTATTTTGTTAATACACATCCCACATCGCAGGATAATGGGTAGATTTATGTTACTTACTTCTTTTGAGAGAGACAGACAAAATGGTTTTTGAAAGGTGAAATGGTCTTTTTTAAGCCTAGTAAAGAACCCAAGAATTGAGACCAGCCATAATTTCTTTCAGGAAAGCTTTCTGTCCATTCCATAGACAGGTATATGGAAAAATCGTGGTATTTCTTAAAGTTCTCTTTGTAAAAGTCTCATGAAAATTTGAAGGCATACGCAAAAGTAGAGAAAATAATAGGATAACCCTCCCACATCCCCATCCCCTGTACTTAGTAATTATAAAACTTATGCTGTATTTGCTTTATCTATCCTTTTTTTCCTTTTCCACTGTAATATTTTAAAGCCAATCTCAGACATTATGTGACTTCATCTCCACGGTAATTGGAGCCATTTTCAAAAGTTTTTGTTAGCAGAAACTGCTGGTAGAAGTCAGGTTGATTAGAAGATTCTACATTAAGTATCTGTATCCCTATGTTAACCTCTTAGAATAGAGTATACGTATGGAGGAAATGTCTCTGTGCTTGGGCTCTCCTGCATCTTCGTGACTTCAGTCTCGTTCAGTTAGAGACATAGGAATCAAAAGCTACATAGCTCCTTGAGACCCACGTTTAATCCCTGTTTATCCCTAGTCGCCTCCCTCATCTTTGAAAACTTCAGAGACAGAATTTTCATTGCCTCTTTTCAGTAATGTACTTGAATGTTTTAACACATGGAAAAATGACTTGGTATATTTTTGTCCGTGTAATGATCAAAGTGAATATGACAGTGCATTATTTACTAAATTAAAAAGCAATGTGGATATTTGATTTTCGTTTTCTTTAAAAGACTTGATAATTTAGAACTTCCAAAATCCTACATTAGGCTTATGCTGAATAATTTTGCCTTCTTAAGTTTCTACTCATGAAACTGATACCTTTGGCTTGTTATTTAGCTTGGCCAGATGCTCTTCATTTGAGTGTGTATGTCCTGGCTCACACGTTGGAATGATGAGATATGAATTCATTTGGATTACATTATAATTAATTGTAGACTTTCTCTGTGTCTTTTTTTAATTTTCTAATTAAATTTATTGTACTTTTTGCTCTGATGTGGTTAACCTCAGTTTCTTTAAATTTAGCTTATTTATACATACAACTGAGGACAGTATAAAATTTTAAATGGCTTGTTTAGAGAAACATTCCCTAAAAAGGTTCTGGATGAAAATATGGTAGGCTGTGACTAGGCCAAAAAGAACAAAGAAATGTCCTCTGACATTTGATACCTGTGGATAATCGCCCAGAATCAGTTTTGTCATCACATCCAAAAAATGTATTACAGTAAAGAATAAATTTACCCACAAAAAGGGACTGTATTAAAGGTAAATACTGACTTACGGTTTGCAGTCTCTATTTTGACCTTTGTTTCCATAAGTAATTGAGTAAACCACCACGTTCAGTGCTTTGGAGGAGTCAAAGATGTGTAAGATTTCATTCATATTCTAAAAGAACTTTAATCTCATAAAGAACTATGGATGTAGTTAACTATAATGCAAGAGACCATTACAGAAAACGAAACCCCTTCCAATTGGGATCCTCAGAGAGGGCTGGTAAAGGAAATGTGGGGTAAAGCAGCAAGAACCCATTTCTCAGCCTCCTAAGAATTGTCCAAAATTTTAGATTTTTTATAGTTTCACTGTCATATGGGATCCTGTAAGGTATAATTGCTTTATTTTGGCAATTATATATTATTATAAGTATTATATTATTATAAATAATATAAATAAATATATTTTTCTAAGAAATTTTATGGAAAGTATTTAACTGCTTCTGGTTATTATTTATTGTTCTCTTTGCATTTGTAACACTACACTATTCACTTCTGTGAATCTTGGACAGCAAAGCACAATTACTTAATACAGGAAATAAGTAGTAACACATTGGGCCGTGCAAATAGATTGCATAAAATTTTCTCTCCAAAGACATGACTTACTTAAATATCAGGATACAAAATGTCAAATGTTTGAGCTCATTCATAAAAGCAGAAAATATTGATGCTGCATGTTCTCTTTACAAAGCATGGACCTTACTGCTTTTTAGAATCTGGTGGTGGCAGTTTGTTTTCTTATCCCAATTTGAATGTCCAAAACAAAACCCAAACCTACTTGACACTTAAACAATAGAACGTTACATTAGGTTGTGATCCAAAGTGAAATGTGCACAAGGCAGCCTGGCTGGCCCCAGTTTCACAGTTGACTGCCGACTTCACTTCAGATTATGTAAACACGTATTGCAAAACAGCTCTGACGGGAACCTTGTAACCTAAACAGCTTTCTCTGAAATGTAATTTGTTGTCTTTTTATATGAAAGGAGAAATTAAGTCAAAATTATTTTGAAGAAAAACAACTCCGGGATTTTGTTTAGTTGAATTTTACCAGGAAATGCTATTGCCTAGTAGCACTGACCTCAGGGCAGAGAGAAGCTGAAGTTGTGTATTTTTCAGGGTCAGACTTCTCTAGTGACTTTGTGCATGTTACATCAAGTCATTTAAGTGATTGGGGCATCTGTCACCCTAGGCCACAAGGAGCCCTCCTTTAGTGTTCCATCCTGAAGGAAAGGTATGTGCTGGATTATGTTCACCGAAATCTAAAATGATCACCCCTTTTGGACAATAAACTGGTGTGATCTTGCCCTGCAAGAACATTACAAAATGAACTTACATTTCAGGTAAGTGTACCCTAGTTTCTGGCAAAGAGCTAGGTGTCATAATCTTCCAGAGCTATTTAAGGGCAATAAAGAGCTCTACTTTTCTTCCTTCCCTAAGTAAAATTTCTTTCCCCCCCCCCAATGTCATTTTTGTCTATTTCCTTACTCTCTGCAAAGAGAAAATAAGGCTGTCTTTTTAAAAGATTAAAAACTTCTCCATTCTCCTTATTCATCATGGGCCATGAAGTAAGGATTAGGATTGGGATTGGGACTAGAAAGAGCATACTCTCTAGATTGTTCCCCCTTCCACCCTCACGTGATCCCAAGTGATGCAGTTTTGTTTGGTCATAGCAGACACTTAATACACAAATTAATGAGACAGATTCAACTTTAATGGAAAGCAATAAATTAATTGCTATTTTCTAAAATTTTGTTCTATCAACCCCCCCCCCAAAAAACAGAACTGGTTCAGTCAGATTCAGAATTAGTCCTTATCAATGTTTAAGTTCTTACTGAATGCCAGACCCTGTGCTAAGCACAGAGTATATAGTAGCGAACAAACGATATAGCCCTGACAGTTTAGGATCCTTTTTTTGTTTTTAAGATTTTATTTATTTATTTGAGAGAGCATGAGCAGGGGGAGGGGGCGAGGGAGAGGGAGAAGCAGGCTCCCCGCTGAGCAGGGAGCCCAATGTGGGGCTCGATCCCAGGACCCTGGGATCCTGACGTGAGGCGAAGGCAGACACTTAACAGACTGAGCCACCCAGGCGCCCCAGTTTAGCATCCTTTTCCCACCCTCCCGTGTACCAGCAGCTGGTCATTTTCCCTAGGTGACACTGAAGTTCCAGGCATTGACCTTTTCCTGCTGCTCTGTCCCCACTGAACGCTGGGGTGTAGCCATGTCATACAGGTTTTTGAAGCGGTAAGTAGGATAGGTGCAATAAATGCCACTTTGTGTTGCACATTTATCAAGATCAAACTTTCTTTTAAGATAAAACTTTTAAAAATCCTAAGGTAATCACATAAAATGATGTAGACGTGGACAAAACCTGGAAGGGGCCACAGGAGAATAAACATGGGTGACCTGCTGAGGTGATGGGATTCTAGGTATATCATTTCTGTCGTCACTTTATTATTTGCATAACATATTTCCTAAAAGGTTGTCTAGGGAAAATCATGGAAAGAAGGCTTGCAGAAATGAATCGACATTCAACCCATGAAGTAAGGAGCAACCTACAAACAACCTTCAGAACAGGTGAGAGAGATCTTTTATTACAGGGGCAGACCCAGGTTTTGTGGGGCTGGACGCTTATATAATTTGGAGTTCCCTCTTAAGGAAATACATGCAAAATTTAGGAAAGCAGCCATGCAAATGAGGAGCCAGGACTTAAGCTTCTCTCTAGCTTTAAACAGTCAGTCCACAAACTGCTCCGAGGGTGGGGCATTTAGGAGGCTGAAGGAGGTGTCATGAAGAAAAGTTTTGTGCCCTCCCATATGTCAAACTGAGTTTCTCTGCTACCTTTAGGAACTCTAACTTTTACCAAATCTGAGCTTCTATTTCTGGAAGTCAAACAAGACTTAGCAAAGTAGCACGGGGTACAAACTCATTAATGGTTAACTTGGGATCAAAATCGGACTTTTTTATTTTTTAGATTAGAGTTTTTAACTTGAGGGTGGGTCT